TCGGGGGACGTGTTGAAAACATTTAACTATAGCAGCTACAGTACATAATTTTGTACTTTTTCAACCAATGTACTGCATAGCCGGCAGCGGAAGAAGGAAGAAAGTCCAAGTAGACACACATTTATCTCATTCTTGTGAAACAAAAAACAGCACGGCTATTTGGGACAACACGTCTAACTGGGCGTAGAAAGCTCGGATCGACCTCAAACCAAGTTTGTTGTAATCCTACTGGACACAGCTTTCACGGAATGTATTTTGAGTCCACAACGGAGCCGGGGCCGAGGAGATAGAGCCTAAAAAAGGGGCTCCNCTCCTCGGCCCCGGCTCCGTTGTGGACTCAAAATACATTCATTCCGTGAAAGCTGTGTCCAGTAGGATTACAACAAACTTGGTTTGAGGTCGATCCGAGCTTTCTACGCCGAGTTAGACGTGTTGTCCCAAATAAAAATTTGGGACAACGTTGTCCCAAATAGCCGTGCTGAACAAAAAAACAATGAGCGTATTTCAGCGGAACACCAGTACAAATAATAACTGTCCCGGCGTAGACCAAAAGCTACCCTTGGGCGACTTTTCCCTCCACAAATCGCAAAGAGTTCCCTGAACCTCCCCCCGCGGCTTGACTCGACGGCTCTGTTGAGTTTCATGAGTATACGAATGAACGGTCTTCGAAAGAAGGTACTGCGTCTCACGGTACTCGCCGCCTCTTCCCTTCGCGTACAAATAGGATCGAACGTACTCCAAGCGAGAGATAGCCTCGCCCTGGGTGAGGGACGATGTTATGCACGACTTTTTTTTGTTGGCGGCATCAGATGGACCGCCGGTAGATGGGAGAAATCTATCCAAACCAACACCCAGTTACAGCTGCAGCAGCAGACCGCTCGCTACTTCCGCTGTCTGTGCGTCGCTACTTTTGTACTCACTGCTGTGGTGCGTGGTGCATGCAAAGAGCCGCCCGCAGGACACGAAAAGGGGGTACGCGACGGAAAATAGTGGTACCCTACTATCGTACATTCTGCCGGGCCTCCTGGTGCTCAGCATTAAAAGTTTCTTAGAAGCGGGAAGTTTCCTTAACGCGAGCGTCCTCAAAGCGGGGTCGACTGTATGTAAATGTGACTGCTGTACTTTCTTGGTGGCAGTAGATGTTAGGCGCTACGCGAACTAGGCTGCTTGTTTCCGTGTGTTCCTGTAGTAGCACGGCTGGGTGAGTATGGGCCGGCATCGATGACGAGGAGGTAGATGCAGAACGGGTAACGAGGATTAAGCACACGTTTGTTTGCCATCCATCTAATAATACTACCGCAACCTCACAGCTAATTTTCGACGATTCATGGTAACTTTTCGAATTTCTTCCCTCTCCGGAGGAAGAGAGGGGGGGGGGGGGGGG